GGAAAGAACAGGTAGACGAAGTTTGGCTTGAGGCAAAGATTTCCGTCTTGGGGACTGACCAGCCAGGGTTCTTTGTAAATGTTTTTCCTTGCACACTAATCATCTTGAAGAAAACACTAGCTGCTAACTCTAGGATTTGCCTTTAATATGTTTATAGGGCTCAAAAGCAAGGTTTTCCGAATGTGTTTGTCCATGTGACATATTTATATAGTAAATACTCTAGTGTCTCGCTGCTGTTCAGTACTCAACAGGGCGACGTTCTTTCGTTAGCTAAATTAACATCCACTCCCAATCCTTAACTCTCCGCCAGCGTCCAGTGAATCCAACTGGGATTTCTAGCATCTTGACGTAGCGCATCGCTCTGATCGATGATGGAAACTCTACCAAAATACGTTTGAGCAGCCCTGTAGTAAGGAGCTTTGTAGTACTAACAGTTGACAGAAGCCTGGGATGAGGCGGTGGTCCCGTGGAGGTGGCTCTGGTTGCCCCCCGGGGCGAGTGGTGACCGTGAATTGTCCTGTCCTTTCCTCTGCTATGTTTTTATGTGGAATTGGATGTTTTGGGGTCATTCTTTTGCATTGCAGTGTTGTTGAAATGCAGCGAAGCTGATTTAGGAAAGGTACCTGTATTTTCCTGGGTTTAGAAGGAAAGAGAAAAAGGAAATGAAAGGCCAAATTTGTATGGGATTTACCACGTGAGAGGGGAGGGTGTGCCCAGAGCATGGTGCTAACACAGCGTTCTGAAGTTCAGCTCCTCTATCAGGAACAGCAGCAGTGACAGCGGGGACAGGCTATACCTGCGAGTTCAGTGGGGTCATTCTTTTGCTTCTGTTATGGTTTGAATTTGGTCAAAGTCTCTGGCTTAAATTGAGCTATTTCAACAGAATTCTCTCAACCCATCTCTTTGTGTAATGTCAAGCATGACTGAATGCTGAATCCAAATGATGGCTATCCCATATTGGCTTTTTTTGTATTCAAAAAGAATTGTGTAGTAACCATTTTTACATGTATATCATGTGCAGACCTGGACTATTCCAACAAGTTAATATTTTAATTAAAATAGTTTGCAAAAACTGATTCAGATCAACTGGTCTAAATGTGTGTGTCCCTGTGTGTACGTGGGGGAAGGAAAGCTGGCCCAAACAACCTGATCTCGAGCGAAAGCACCCCGTTACGCAGCTGTAGCCAGAGGGGCTCAGGGTCAGGCTGTGCCTTGGAGGTATAGGAGGAGACCCTTGGTGTTGAGAATTGTAATGTATCTTGGGAATGTTTCTGAGATACATAACTCTAAAATACGCTAGAGAGACGCAAACACTCTCTGAATCAGTTTGCAAACTCTTGGTTTTTTTAAAAGTAAGACCAATTACTCCATATTATACTCGTTGCAGTCATGCCCTAACTTTGGTTTTTAAAATACTGTAATCCGTAAATTGTGGAAACTACTCCAGTACCTCAGCGTAAGATGTCCTTTTACATCTTTTTACGTTCATATGTAACACTGGGGAAACTATTCTGTGTGGACTACTTTGCAAATTTTATTGCCGTATTTTCAAATCACCAGCTTGACCCCTGACATCTCTTACTCTGTGGTTATTTTGCTCTCCCTTTGCAAAGACCGAACGTTTGGATGTAGTTTAGCCCAGAGATGATAAAAAACCATTTTCACCTCTTTCTGATTTGAATTAATTTTGATTTTTATTTAAGTAAAATCAGTGAAAGGGACCACGTTTTTCCTGTTCTCCGTGGTCCCAGGGAGTCAGCAGCCACCTCTCCCTTCCACGCTGAACGTTACGTGCTTGCTTCCTCGGACGCAGCGCTGAAACGGAGGCCAGCTCTGTTTCACCTGTGTTCGCTCCAAGCCTGTTGAGTTTCAAAGGAGTTGAAGAAATAAATGGTGGTACGATACCGAGCTTTCCACAGAAAATTCCCTGCAGCCGTTCCTTGCCTGGCTCGGGGCCAGGCTGGCATCGCTCTCTGTCCCACCCAGCCCTCCTGCTCCGGAAGAATTGCACGCTAGCCGTAACCCGCACGGGGTGCACCCTGGTAGATCCCGGGATGATGCTGTTATTACCCCCCCTGCCCCAGGGAACAGGGCCCCTTGCACTTCAGGCTGCCCTGCCCCCGTGGCCCTGCTTACGTGCCATTTTATTGAGAGGCAATAAATTGTATTGTACCACTGTCTACCCATTACTCTGTTGAATACGCACATCTCTCTGGTTATATATATGGGATCTCATTTGTATATATTTATATACTCTATGTACGTGTGTGTGGGTATACGTGCACACACATCATGCTGTGCATTTCTGTCAGGGCACTTCGGTTCTGCTGTTCTTTAGCGCTCCTGTTCGTGAGCAAAAGCAACCCCTGCAGCAGGGCTCTCGAGGGCGAGGGCATGTACATCTGCACGAGCTGTGCTAGGGCTGAACGCGGTCAAAAGCCCTCGCTTAAATGCTGCCCTGCTAATTGTAGCTTGCTTTTTCTGGGGAGCGGGAGGGTAGGCTAGCTGCTATGGGTGTGCCGTAAAGGAGAGGAGAGAGCTCCCAGAGGGTACCAGAAAGTCAGAAGGCAGCAGAGAAGAAGACAAGAGGGTAGAGCGATAGGAAAGCAGTCGAGGCACTGTACTGATCTGCCGGGGAAGCGGCCAGCGGGCCGGTGAAGTGCTCAGCAGGCTGAGCTCAGAGTCCCCAGCTGCGCCTTGCCACGAAAGATCACAAGCCTGGCACGGTCTTGGCACGCTGCACCGGCACTAACTTTTGGCAGTCCTGAGTTCAAGCCGCTGCTCACTCTGAACCCTGTCTACCTTTGTGTGCGTCCGATAACTAGGGCGGGTTATGGGGAGGATCAAAAGAGAAGCTAAATGGGAAGATTTAAAAGATACGTGTGTGTGTGTACAGCACATACGTGTATATACCCACACACGGACACTTTGGCTCCCTTCTTTATTCTGCTTGGGCATGTGTTTTGTTACTTGAGTCCAGTAAGCAGAGGACAACCTTGTTCTTCTCCCGGGTGCTTGCTCTGCGTTTCTGGTAAACCTTTCTCGTAGCGGAGGGGCGAGTGCCATGCTGGACACCACGAGCTCCTCAAGCTGTGAAGAGCCTTCTAACCTTCTCCTTCGTCCTCTCCAGACCCCATCTTAGGGAGACATCTGGCAGCTTGGGGGCTAAATGGCTCTCACATGTGTCAAGTCACAAATGTTCATCCAGCTGCGATATTTCCCCCCTGGGGGAGCCCAGCCAGCTCAGCAGCATGCCAACCACGGGCTCCCTTCTTAGTGCTGTTGGAGAATTTGGAGGCAATTTTCCCCCCCTGTCCCTTCTGGAAGGTCTCTAGGTCTCTTGTGAGCTTTCTAGGTGAGGCTTGCGGTGGGTTGGGACATCCTTACCCGTTCCCAACACGTAGCTGTGCTCCTGCCTGTGGGACTGTCCCACCCCGGCACTGGCCGGCAGCGAGCCCAGAGCCACGTGCCAAGGATGGAGGAGTGGTGGATGCCCAGGCGGGGATGCCGGTCGGTGTCCCGCTGCTGTGTTTGTTTCAGTTTGCACTTTTTAAGAGTCGATTGAGCTGGAGTCTGTTGAGAAATACGTGTGAGGTGCTTTGGAGGGTTGTGGGTAGCTGTTTACAGCCAAAAAAAAAAATGCAGATAGATCGAGTGGTCATAGTGAACATCGGCCCCAGCAGGGAATGATGGCAGCCGATAACCCTGGGTCTTGTTGCACGCTGAGGTTCAGCCAGCTGGGGCTCTGCCGCCGCCTGCTGCATCCCTGCCCTGCCCTCGGCCCCGGCTTTGCTGGGGAAGGAGAGGCCCTTGTCAGCTAGAGAGGGACTTAGGAAATCGGATTTGCTGGCAAACAAGCACCTTAACCACCGCGCTGTGGGTCTCAGGACTTGCACTTCACCTGAAGGCTCACCTCGGGGGGAGGAAGGCAGTTTGGTACGCGGCCGCTGGCTTTGCACCCGTCTGGCGTCCTCAGAACATCCTAAAGCCATGTCCTAGGGAAACAAAAAACCAAACCAACCAAACGCAACATTGGTTCCCTCTCTCCTTGCTTTCGCTGAGTGCACACACTGAGTCCAGGACCCAGGA